ATTACAAAAAAGGACCAACAAAAAAAATCAAATTCTTTTCTTAAAAGGGTCAACACCCTTAGAATATTTCCGATTTAATTTGTATTTGCGCTTAGTTTATTATTATGTAATTGCTTCCAAGACATGTAATAGTTAATTAGGTTTACTGTTTTATTTACTTTCCGTACTTATTTACCAAAAAACGGGTCTTTGTAATTTCTGGCGATGTATAGACCCGCGCCTTGTAATAGCGTAGGATTTATGTTTCCGCAATTTACTTTCTGCACCCCTTAACTGCTAAACTTGCATGAAAGAATGTATGTAAATAAAAACAACTCGTAGCTCACTAATTACAAAGACAAACATAACATGAAAACAATACACAATACACACACCACTTCTAGGGTACGCCTCACTCGTTGCCTTCGAAACGTGGTCATCAAGTATATGGTGTCTTAGAGGTCGCCCTTTGTCTAAAGATCCAGTTGCCTCAAAACGGTTGCCTCGGATAAAAAAGGATCTAGGACATTAGGGTTACCACTAAGGTATCCTACCATTGCTTTGGTGACCACATTGTCCTATAATCGAATTGACCCGAACACCTCCAACGATGGTGCTACCTACCTCTCAATGGTGGGATAACACTATCTAAAGGACATTTACGCAGCTTAGTTCCTTAGGGTAGGTAGATGACTCATGGGTACTTGCTCTTTTCAAAAACAAACAAAATACTTTTCACACCTCACACTTTCAAAAGCTTTCAAAACAAATTTTTCAAACACTGTTGAGGACAGATACAAGAGTCATTCAGAAATCTTTCAAAGAAACTTTTTCAAACCCACTCACATTTGAAAAGCAAACATCATTTTGAAAACATAAGAGCAAGTACCTAAGAGCCCATGGATAACCATGGATAGAAAGGGTGCTAACACCTTCCCTTTCTATAAATCTACCTCCCGAACCGAGAAACATTCTCAATAAGGAATTTTGCTGTGCTTTTGTCCTTTCCATGTTGGAGAACATAAAAGACGGTGGCGACTCTTGCTTACCGCGACATTTCGCGAAACCAACTTTAAAACAGTCAGTTCTATTTCCACCGATCACAACATCCAATGATAGGGATTATTATCAATCAATGGTAAGATAGAAACATCTAAAGGAGGAGGAAAAGAACTAAGACCCTTTTGAGTAGGTAGAACGTTCATAGTTGCTTGCTCACAACATTCTCAAAACAACATCTTTTAAAACACACCAACACTTTCAAAATAAAATATTTTCAAAAGTCAACACTTTGTATACATTCTTATAGAGACGAGAATCATTATAAAGTTCGCCTAAACGATGGAACTTTTCAAAAATACTTTCAAAATCCATCACAAACACTTTTCAAACAAAGCATTTTCAAAGTGAGCTAGCAACTAAGAGCCCGTAGATAACTACGGATGAATAGGGTGCTAACACCTTCCCTTTTAATAACCTACTCCCCGAACTCAAGACAAATTATCGAAAGATCTTTTATGTTCTTTTCATCCTTTCCTTTATTGGATAAAAGAAAAATCGGTGGCGACTCTTGCTATCCGCAACAATTTCAATAAAATGCAAAACACTCAAGTCAGTTCTCCCGCCGTATTATAGTACCCAAATATTGGAATTAAAGTGTAGGAAATAAGAACAAAAATATAAACTCAATTCTAAGAAAATGATGTGTGATGTATGATTATCTCCTTGCCCTAGGGTATTTATAGGCCCTGTTACATAATTATTACACTAATTTTGTATAATTGACCATCATTGAGCTTTTACAACAGATAGAAACTAATAGAACATGAAAAGATCATGAAAACAACTCTAAACAAAAGGAATATATGGTTGGCTGCAGGTTTCCAACAGAAAGCAATGGCTATTACAACCAGGTAGTAGCGTCCTCTAGTGCTTGCTATTGAGTTTGCAAAAAAGGGGGAGAAGGGCCCTTATTACGGTTAGGTCGTAATGGGCTCTAGTTTTAGTTCTAGAGAATCTTCAACAATCTTCGTTCGTTATATCCTTCTTTGCTCTAATTTTTTTCATGGTTGGTCATTTTCACCTGAAACATAGAGAAAACATACAAACGTGAGTAAAAGTGCACAAAAACAAATATTGAACAAAAAAATTGAACATAAAACACACATGAAATTATTATAAAAAGTCATTGATCATCTTGAATATGAGTTAGACTCTGATGCCACTTGTTGAATAAATGACTCTAAACACAAGAGGTGACAGGGGTTGGGTTATGAATTCAGAAATTGTGATTAATTTTAAAGAAAAATATTTGAAAATGATTTATGTTAGTGTAAAGATAAAAATAACGGAAATCAAATGAGAATGAAATAGAAAGAAAATAAAATAAATCAATAGAAATAAAAGAGATATGAATAGATAAATTCCAAAAGGATTTATAAAGGTTTGACCTAACCACTGCATGTGTCATCTCTCCAAGAATTTATTCTTGAGAGTTCAACTATAAAATATCTTGATCTTTTATGAATATGTTTGTAAGTCTTATTACAAAAATGAGAGGGTTTGCATAGGCTGGTTCCCCAAACCAAACTGTGCTTTTGACGACTGAGCTCACAAACTAAAAGGAAAATTTACCGGCTAATCTCAAGAACTAAACAAATATTTTATATGGAAAATCTCCACAAACAAAGATATCAACCAAGAGTATCTCACTCTTGATGAAAAACTATTCGACACAAACACTAGTACAACCAAACACCTCTCAAAAGTACTTTCACTCACAAAGCACTAAGGGTGTGTTTGGTAGATGGGGGATGGGAGAAGATATTTATAATGAAATGTGTTTGGTTCAATTTTTAAGAGGGGAGAGGAGAGGAGGGGAGAGGAGCAAAATATATCCCTTCAAATCACACTTTTTGCGTTCCCCGAATCAGAGGGGAGGGAGATTTAAGTTTTTATTTTTAATAAGCTAATATATTTACTAAAATATCCTCAGTTTTATTTTATTATTTCAAAATTATTATTTTCTTTCGTGTTTCTGCATTTCTTTTTTGTGATTTTTCTCTATTGCTTTCATCAACTTATTTTAATTATTCGTCTTCAAATTAATTTTTTTATATTTTATTTAATACAAATTATGATCACTGTAATTTTTGTTTGTTTTATATATAATTATTTTATTATATATATAAACGATTCATTTTTTTATTATATGGTAATATATATAATATTTAATAATAAATTAGTTTATGTATTCAAAAGTTGTTATCAACACATAATTTATTTTGAGTCAAGAGTTATAATACGAATCAATTGTATTCAATTTTTTTAACGTTATGTGGTAAGTTATGATTTTTTAATCACTCAATATTACAAATATTATTTCAAAAAAATATTTATAAAATTTTCATATTTGAATATCATATCACTTATATAAAATCACAACGATAAAAATGTAAACTATTAATAAAATCTCTCAACTCCCCTCATGAACCAAACATATTTTTAACCAAAATTTCTCTCCTCTCCTCGTTTGAACCAAACATATATATAATTAAAAAACATCTCTCCCCTCCCCTTCCCTTCCTTCCATTAAAATCTCTTCCCTCCTCTCCCCTTCATTTGAACCAAATAGACCCTAAGGTAACTTTTAGTGAAAGAATATAAAGGAGTGGAGAGAGAAAATAAGAAAAGGATTAGAAGTTTGAATTTTATTGTATTTGAAATGAAAAGAAGCGTGATTTATAAAGTAAAAAATATAGCTAAAAAGGAAAATGATTCATAAGACTTTTAATACTCATAATCGATTATATATATCACATGATTGATTATGTAGTTCACATAAGAAAGGTTTTTAAATAGCATCGTCATTAATCTTTTATAAGTCCTAATAATCAATTATGAGGCGTTACAAAAGATATAATTGATTAATCATAATGTGTTAATCAATTAAGATAGTAATCAACTAGCTATTTGCGTTAAACATTTTCCGGTTATGTTATCAACGCTTAACCAATTTTCAAACGTAAAACATTTTAATGTGTGCGGGACTTGCCTTAGTATATCATGAGACACTATTATACTTTTATAAAACACTGACCACTCAGACACAAAATCAAGAGATTTCATCACTATACGTAACTTAATCAGAGATCTTTATTGACTACGCTGAACGTTTGACATTAGCTAGGTGTTATCAGCATCAAAACCACCACAGGTCATACCCTACTAAGATCATTTGTAGATGATTGTACCGCAAACACATAGCTCCATAAGCAGGACCATCAAATCTAGAAGATTTTGACTATCATATTCCTCATACTTTGCCTATTGAAGCTCTCCTCAACACCATCTTCACTAACGAACAAGCTCACTCCATGAGCATGAGCAGGATGGTTGCTCAAGTTGACTTCTTGGCTTGCAACCTTGCTAACTCTAATTATTGAGAGACATCATTTATTCCTCGTCGTAATTATTTGAAGATAAAATAATTATTATTGAGTGCTATCCATTACCGTTTGACAATAATCTATGTTGCAAGCTTATAACTCATTTATTATAGTATGTGTGTTGAGCCTAATTCATAAAAAAATTATTTTATGGTTGAATTTGATCCTCCCCACTAAAACTATAACCCTAATATGGTATGAGAGTTTGATTTTGGTTCTAGAAAGAAGCAATAATATTAGTATTGGTAGTAGTCACCATATTCCAGTTATTAGTTGTTGAAATCCATTAGTACCTATTCTCATCAAAACAACTACCTTATGGCAGCTGAATCTAATCATCTCCTATACTGATATACTTGCTGCTTGATAATTGAGCTAAAATATCCCCATTTAATTAAATTCAATTTCTAACAATAACAAAATTGGGTACTAGATGTATTTCAAAGAGACATGAAACCAGTCTAAACCAAAAACAAGATACAATTAAAATCAAAATCTACAATTGACTACAAAACTATTTGGATATAATGTACAAAAATTGTAAAGAGTGTAGATAAAAGCAATATGTTATTATCACTTGTTAGCTTCAAGCCAATCAAGAATACCCTTTTGTGCTTCAGAAATTTCCCCATCTTTTCCTTTCAAACTCCCTTCTATGAATTCAAAATAATCCTTGTAGTTACGTTTGTAATAACTATCCACTCTCTGCAACACAACACAAACTGTCACTAAATCAAATGAAATATTAAATTAAATAGCATGACATACTATACAACAAAACATAATCACCACTTACCTCTTTGTCATTTTTCTCCTTGTTTTCCTCTGATTTCTTCAAATATTCTGATAAAAATTAGCATATTGTTAATTTGCAACATTTTTCTGAGTTAGTATCAATTAGACAAAAGAAGTACAAAGAATAATGTTATGAGTAGATATATATATATATATACTTTGAAGAAGCTGAGTTCTTGACTCAGGGATTTGAGTTGCCGCAACAACAGTTGATAAGACAAGTCCTCTCCTTCCAAATCCTATGTTGGTGCTGGTTAAGGTTTGGCTTGGTTGTTTTCTGTTATGAACTGCTTGTATATTGGAAGATGCATACTTGTTTACAGTAACTGTTATTGCCATTAACATGGTTTGTCCAATGGAACTCATTGCAGATACTACTCTATCTATCTTCACTTTAGTTTGTTTTCTTTTGTTTGGTTACAACCATAACTTATCTTGAATGGATAATGAACATGTGGTAGCCTAGTACATTGTGTGGGACAAAAACTATGCAATGGACAGGTTAAAGCTAGCTTATAATAATATAATTTAAAGTCTCAAATTTTGATGCAAATTACATTAAAACCAAGTATCATTCGAATTCGAAGATATAAAAAAAAAAAAAAGTATCATTTGAAACATCTATTTCCCTCATTTTATCAACTATAATTCTCAACTAATGGTTTGTGTTACTATTTTTTATATTTACTTAATACTTCTATGTTTTATTTTTTTTGGATTTGTTTATGTTGTATCCTAAAATTTGGCCTCTTAAATTCTCAAAAATCCTCTCACAAGATCTCCATTGATTCAAGACTGCACAAGGTTTGATCAGCTCAAGATACCTCCTTAAACACTGATGATTCAAAATTAGGGTTTGAGTTTGTGTAAGGACAATTGGACCTTTAATGCTTCATATAATTTTCATGGATCATTTTGGACTCCCAAGATTGCTCATGTCAAGTTTCAGGCTTTGAATCACATTTTTTCTCAATCAATTGATCAGTTGACCTAAAATCAAACTATATTGGGCAAAAAAAAGTCAATTGTGGTCAATTCACAGTTAAACATCACAATTTTTGATTCATATCAACATGTTAAACTCATATATGTCAATTGGTCAAGTTTGGATCACAAATTCTCAAGAAATTTGATCAAATCACAAATAAGGAAAATGGTTTAAATTAGGGTTTTGACTGAGAAGACTTGATTTTTGACTTTCAACCAAAATACATGACTTGTTGTTTTGAGACATGATATCAAGAATCCAAATGCATCATTTTTACCTAATGGCATGGTTCAAAATATTTCTCAGAATCAATTGATTGATAGTTGAAAATTGGTCAACTGATGAAAAAGTTAATTGTACACTGAAAAGTCAAACTTTGACTTTTAGATCAAAATCAAGTTTCAAAAATCATATTTCATCAAGACATGTCAAAGTATGAAGATTGTTCATCAAGAAATCAAAAGTCAAGATTACTTTGAAAAAAGTCAAAGTTCTAAACACTTAGAAATTTTTCTAAGTGTTAAGGAAAATATGATAATTTTATAACTTTGTGCCAAATTTTCACCATGATGCAAGATGATTCAAGAAAAACTTCCAACATGAAAGTTGTAGATCTCAATGAGATCTAAAACATTATAGGACAGAACTTTTCTATAAATTCTTGGATCTCAAGTTATAAATCCATGAAGACATGTCCATGAAACTAAAACACTTAGTAAAATTCTGAGTATTTTAAGTCAGAATTTTGACAGAACTTCTGTGCCAAGTTTCACACAGTTAAAATGGGAGTTTACAAAAGTGATTCAAAGACGGATTGCAGAGGACGTTACAAGCTTTCTAAAAAGTCAAAGAACTCCTTCAGATCATGTTGGAGCAAGGAGAATCGAAGATCAGAAGTTGGACATTCATTCTCAAATTATAAGTCATTTTCATGATGAACATCTTATCCAATTCCAAGCAATGCTGCATAATCCCACTTTTCAGGATCTCTAACTTATGTATTTATCCTTAATTAGAAGATTACACAAGCGTTTGAGCTATGAACCATTTGATTTAAACTTTGTCCAATACACCTTGCCATTTAAGGAAGAAAGTTCACACTTCCATTTTGGAAAAGTGACTTTAATCACAAAGTCCACTCTCCTTAAGCTTTGTGTTTGTTCTTTCTGCACAAGCATCCCCTACAAACTCAGAACAGGTATGTTTAAAGTTACTAGTCCCCCTACCTTGCCTTGAAACCATGTTTGTCTAAGCTTGCTTCAAAAACAAGTCAAAAATCCACAACATGTGATTTTGTACTTCTGACTTCTTCAAACTTCTAAATCTTTTGCCTATAAATTAAACCTTCATTTGCAAGTTAGAAAGAGGATTTGGACAAGCTCTGAATTTCACTAAAACTCCCTAGAACCAGAAATTGCAACACAAGCACAAAACTTGTCATTTCTGATTTTTGAATCCAATCTCCAAATCCTCTCATGCGTTTCTTGTCCAAACCATCCACAAAGCTTCTAATACACATATAGAACCTATCCCAACCTCTGTTTTCAAATTGTAACATCATCTTCACCAACCTTCATTTTCAAAAATAGAGCATTACATCTTGACTTCTCCAGAACATTCTAGTCATCCATAGCTCAAGCTAATCATTGCATTAGCTTCCTGGGAACTTGAGGAAGCTAACCAGAGCATCACATCAACTTGAATCAGGCTCTAACTCCAAAACATAATCTCTAGATGCAAGGTAATTTTTTATGATTTTCATCTCATTATTTAGGCATTGTTAGGCTTGCATTTTCGAAGATAAAATATAGATAGCATTGCCCCGAAATTATACATATCCATAGATTTCATTTATATGGCCTGAGTAGATAGAATTTTGGATCAGAACTTCTTGGAAAAATTAGGGTTCAGATTAGGGCTAGCAAAATTCAAGTTTGTTTCTGATTTATAGTTTTAATGTTTTATAGTTCTGGAATCAGGATTAAATTTTCCATAACTTTCATGTTTATATTTTCCATTTTGGTTGAGAAATGATTGAGTTGCAGATGCTCTGGCTGGCACGAGGAAGAAGATGAAGTTCACATCAGAACTGATTTTGTAATATATATTTATAGTTTTGTTTATAATACCGGATGTATAGCCACCCCAGTGGTAGAGAGCGTGTATGTAAGACGTTAGTGTTAAGGGTCGTGGGTTATAGCCCCAAGAGCACCTTTTATTTTTATTTCTTAACATTTTACCCTTATTTACTTGTTAACAGCACGCCTGGGCTAGAACTTCTGGGTTTTCTCATTTTTTGCTTCCAGCAGCCTTTTACCCCCATTTACTTGTTGGCAGCGCCCCTGGGCCAAAACTTCTGGACTTTCTCATTTTTGCTTCCAGCAACACCCCCCTCCCGTTTACTTGTTAACAGCACGCCTGGGCTAGAACTTCTGGGCTTTCTCATTTTTTGCTTCCAGCAGTATTTTACCCCCATTTACTTGTTGGCATCGCGCCTGGGCCAGAACTACTGGGCTTTCTCATTTTTGCTTCCAACAACACCCCTTCCCCCCATTTACTTGTTAACAGCACGCCTGGGCACATAACTTTTGGGCTTTCTCTTTTTGCTTCTAGCAACATCCCCTCATCCACTTTTTCATCATGCAGCCCAACATAACCTATTTTTTTATTTTCTTTCTGATTCTGATCACAAAAATACATTTGGGTCTAAACCAAACAGAAATCAGTTTTACTTACAAACATCCTTTCCATTTTCTAAACCCCGCTGACTTTAATTTTATTTTTTTTATTATTTTTATTTTTATTATTATTATTATTATTATTATTATTATTATTATTATTATTATTATTATTATTATTATTATTATTATTTTTATTAATCAGAAACACCAAAAATATATTATCTTAAATATTTAAATTATTTAGTTTATTTTTATTTAACTTCTCAAAATAAAAATACCAAAAATATTTTCCTATTTAATTTCTTTTCTTTAACTTAATCTTAATTTTTTCTTATTTTAGTTAATTATTTTCTTTTAGTTAATTAGGTCAAAAACCATTTTTCTTAAATAAAATCCAAAACAAATTCCATTTCTTTTCTATTTTTATTTTTTATGCATTATATTCACTCTATTTCTTGTACATTTTATACATTTTAATTCTTGTACATTATTCAAGTTTAATATGTTTGTAATAGATAATTAGGTTTAATTTCTTACAATCCCCATTTATAAGTTTGTACACCCCATCCCAAAATAATGTAATAGCATAGGATATTTAATTTCCGCAATTTACCGCTTTCATATAAATGCTAGTAATTTAGGATTTGTATGGAAAGATAAAATTAATGCTCAAGAAAACCCTAATCCAAGATAAACCAAGAATGAAATACAAACACTTGCAGACTTTGCACTTCTAGGGTCTACTCCACTTTATTGCCTTAAAAATGATCATGATATGCATGTGAGATATCTTAGAAAAAACAATCAAAAATACAAGATCACAGTCCCTCGATGACGCTACGATTGTTGCCTACCCCCCGAACTCAAGAGAATATATCAAAGGTCTTTCATGTTCTTTTCACCCTTTCCTTATTGGATAAAAGAAAAGTCGGTGGCGACTCTTGCTATCCGCAAAAATTGCAATCAAATGTAAAACAACCAAGTCAGTTCTCTCACTGTATTACAGAACTGGCGACTCTGCTGGGGACTACTGAAAAGTGGGGTTACCTTAGACTTAGATCACATTTACTTGCTTTCATTGTTTGATTTTTTGCTTTATATTTATGGGTCCTTGTTTGGGCTTGTATTGATCCTCTACCCGGATCTGGGAACACTATTAGGTAAATAGAAAAGATTGCGGAGACTGTACGGCATAGACCGATATGGTTGAGACAATAGCTATGTTAGTGTGACATATTTGTGGGTACCGGTATCCCTTATGGCGAATTAAGGAGAATACAGGGCCGTTGAGTGATGTCATGAAGCACTAACGAACCTTAGAACCTTTAATTTAACAACTTGGCCATTAGGAAGTAGTGAGATAGCCGGTTTCAGTGGAAAGCTGAAAATTGGTTGATACTCGATGCTATGCTCATTGAGATCGAACTTTTGGGATATTTTGGCTGCAAGAAAAGATTTATTGTGCTAAAACAATGCCCAATGAAGAAAGATCAGTGATATTGAGATTCCCTAGAACCCGATTACTTTCTAGGACAGGTTGAACCAAGTAAACTTCAAGAGGGTACTTACCTATGAATTTCATGCAAGCCTAAACCTAAGGTCTTTGTATGCTTTGTTTGTGATTATTATTCATGTCATCATAAAACATCATAACATCATAAAGCATTCTCACTAACCATTTCAAGGATTTAGGAATT